CCCCAAAACCCCAAAACCCCTTAGGTAACTGATAATAAATGCAATTATAGTCAAATTATTTATCTTTATTAAAATTGTGGAATGGATAAAAATTTTTAATCATGGTTTATTCCTAAATTGAGAAGCAAATATGTGACTTTTGAGATTTTATAGTTTACCTGCCAATTTAAGTACCAAGTTATTATTCTATTACGCTCCTTGTGTAAAAAATCAGATGCTTTCCTGGATAGATTACTTCATGAAATTTAAAAGACTTTTAATGTTTGTCAATTTACTATCACACCTCAACTGCTTCTAGATCCCCTAATAAAAAACTTAAAGTCTAATAAAAAGGAGTAATCTTCGCTTAACTTCTATGCCAAGGCTTAGAAACTTGATTACTTGGAGGATTGTTTCAAACTTAATCTCAAGATTATGGTTTAGCTAGATGATAACAATAGGTACTACAGGTTTGATTAAAATCAGGCTTAAAATTTATATGAAGTTCTAAAGAATGATGATAGTGAATTCGATAGCATTTTGATCTCGTTTGATTTTAAGTATTCAAGTCATTTCGAGGTAAAAAATGAACCTGTCATGGAGATTATTTAAAAATTATGCATTATCACCAAAGAAAATTAGTTACGTGCCAAAGAAATTGTATTTCACCGAAATCATCAAGGTGTTTTAGACTAAATTATCGGATACTTTTTGTAGAAGGACATCAATACAAGTAATTAGTATTTCAGCTCTATCACTGCAGCGAAATAAAAAGGTGAAATGCCAGAAGAAGTTTACAATATAAAATTTAGTGGTTATAATTTAGAATCACTGGTATTTTAAAAACAATTGCTGAATGTAAGAGGACTAAAGTAGTTATCATCAATGCTTATAAATTGCTAGAACATTTCTAGTCTAACATTGGAGGAAATAATGCCTCCTTGCACTGATTTACAATATCATCCTTTTTGTGATTAAATGATAGAAACTATGAAAAGTCTTCAATACTTGACCAATCTTAAATCCCTTAATATATCAAGAAACCATTTCGCAGACGATTTCTTAAAACTTCTTGTACCAGTTATAAGGCCCTTGAAACTAAAATATTTAGACATATCTGCAAATCATCTCTCAGAAGAAGGAATATCGGCTAGTAAGGAACTCTTTTAGAATAACTACTTACTGCATGAACTAAGATTCGATTATAACAAATTTAGGAATACTTGGACAACTAAAGTAATCCCTGATATCTTTAAAGCAATACCAAACTTGAAAATACTGAGTCTGAAAATGTGCAGACTAAGTGATAATCTAATCTCTGAATTATGTCCAGGGTTTCATTGTGGTCTCTAACGCTTAAACCTATCCTTCAATAGAATTACCAAGGATGGAATTCAGGCTATAGCAGAACACTATGAAAAAGTCACTGAATAGATTATGTTAGAGGTATTGGAACTTGATAACAATGAATTAAATGATTTTTCGTTCCCCTCTTTAGCTAAAATATTGAAGTATTGCAAAAATTTGAAGAAATTTGATCTCAGCTAGAATTTGTTCATGGCAAGTAGATATGAGATGGCAAAATTAAAGTATTATTATAGGATAAATTTGATATTCTGAAGAGCTTTAAGTAAGGATATTTTAATTTGATATTAGATTTTATCAAGTATATAATTTGATAGATTCTGATTAGTGGGGTTTTGGGGTTTTGGGGAGATCGGAAGAGCACACGTCTG